CACACACACACACACACACACACACACAGGAACATGTGTATGTATTCTTTTGTAAACTATATCTATCTAAAGTAGTTCCAACTTTATTTTCATTTCTGACATAAATTAGAGGTTGTTATAACAAACTAGCTAGATGGGTGCATCAGGGAAAAGAGATTTAATGATTCAAATTTTGGGATGGCACCTGAAATCTTTGCTATGCTAACCTTGAAGACAAGGTGAATACATAATAAAATTATACATAATAAAATTATGTTACATAAGCATGTAAATCTGGTGAACAAATCAACCCTCAAATTCCCGACAGAACAATAATGACCTTTCTTCTGTGGTCATACAGGACTCTGTCTGGTAACTTTCCAAGTAACAATTAAACCACTTCATTTGGTACTGCGCAAATGTGCAAATGAGTTAGAGTTGAATAGGATAGCTAATAAACAAACACCACGTAAAATCAACATCCAAACTGCTAGAAATTCAAACTGCTAGAATGGATCAAAAGAAATTAGCTAAACAGAGACAGAATAATAAGGGCTCTACAAATTCTAAACCCAAGAACAAAAATTTAGATGCAAAAAGAGATGCAGCTGGATAGACCTGGTTAATGTAAAGGTTAATGTAATGCTGGAGTATGTTAACAGACGTGTTCTAACATGTAAGTTTCTACTCGAATCTGGAATACTTGGCTAATTTATCTGTATTGAATTTCCTGAGCTGTACAAATGGTTAACACACTCAGCTGCCAATCAAAAGGTTGGTGGTTCAAGTTCACCAGGAGAAACCTTGGAAGAAAATGCCTAGACATCTACTTCCAAAAAATCAGTGATTGAAAAGCCTGTGGAGCTGAGTTATACCCTAACCCTCACAGGGCCATCATGAGTCAGAAATCAACTTGGTTGGTTACTCTGTATCACACACTAGTCCCAAACAGACACACCAGAATAGAAGATTCATCAAATAAAGAATCACTTAAGGAAGCAGTGGAGGTGGGAGAACGAATATTTGTTCAACACCTATGGGAAACTCTGTGTTAGGTACTTTAAGATAAACTATTTTATTTAATCTTCACAACCAGCCTAATGAAATGGCATCATATCTCTGCTATAGATGAGGAAAGTGAGGCACAGAGAGATTACCTTTCCCAATCTACATAGCTAATAAATTGTTGTTGTCAGATGCCATCGAGTCGGAACT